GTAAAGTACCCGTGTTGGACACATATCCCTCGGACATGGGTATGGGATATGTGTCCGGCACTTTTGGTTGGACATGTACTTAAAAAGCATAGTCAGTCATTCAATTACATTATATTATTACTTTAAATGAGCTAAAGGCCAATATTGAACATTATATTAGATAAAAACATTACTTTACTCTAAAAAATAAAATAAAATAATTAAAAAAATGAATATTTAGCCGTATCCGTGTGTCCTTCTGTTTGGAGATTTGACACGTCCGACTCATGGGTACACACTCGTGTCCGACATCCGTACCCGAGTCCATGTAACATATGTCAATGCAAGTCTACCTCTGACCCCGTCTAGGTAAGCCACTACCTGTTGTCCTAAAGGTCTTTGAATCTTCACTCTGATACCAAATCTGTAACGATCCAAACTCGGGGGGTTTAGACCCTACCCGGCCCGGCCTGCCCGAGAACATCAAAGGGTAAAATAGTCTATATGATTATGACCTGTACCAGGCATTAGAAGTCTAGTTGAAGTCTAAAGAGTCAATCCTAACAATTTTAGATCACTTAAGAATGAGAAAATCAACCTTGGTCACTATTCGGGTCACTTAGGGTTACAAGGGTAAATCGGTCTTTTTGGACCTTATGACGTATTTGGGAGCTTATAATTGTCTTCTTAGCCATGTGTGGTCACTTGGGATCATTTAGAATTGAAAGAATTCAACTTGGTTCAAGACCCCGCCAGTTTTAGGGCTAAAAAGGGTAAAAATGACATTTTGGGCCATCCTACTCGTATCCGGACGCGGCCATGTTGGTCTAAGGCTCTAAGCCTCCTAAACACACTGTTGGACCCCTACGATGAAGCTCGGGGCCGACGAAAAAGTAAAAAAAAAAACAGGACATAAAACCTAATACCAAGCGCTCGGACCATGTCCTCCGAGCGCTCGGGGGACACCTTGACCTCCCCTTGCGCGCGCGCGCAGAGCAAGCTGCGCATGCAGCCCTTGCCGGCCGAGCGCTTGGATTCCTGCTCTGAGCACGGGCCTGCCCAGAAAATGGGCTTTTTGCCCTTTCTTGCCCGTTCTTGTTCCCGAACACTCCTTTGGCCATTTTTAACCTCCTTGCCCTTGTCTCAACTCACAAGCATGCATGAATGCGAAATATAAAACATCGAAATACAAGTTTTTGAATCACTTTTCATTTACAAATTTCAATGTACACACATAGTCATAGTTTCATCACTTACAAACCCAAAATGAATGAAAAGTAGTTCAAAAGATTATAAATATAAGTTTAGACCCTTACGGTCATAATTACAATGCTTCGCAAGAATTTACATCAACTAGGCATTTATTACAAAAATAATAAAAGTAAGCTTCTGTCCACCATAACTTCGCATTTAAGGGTTTGTCATCAACCACGTCGTTGTCATGACTTGAAAAATGTTAAAGGGGTGAGCTTGGAGGCTCAGTAGAAGATGCCTATGGAATCCGGGATCATACTTGGGGTTTCCACAACATTTACTTCACGAATCAATCTCAACAATAGTAGTTAGGCATTCCAATACAAGTATTCATAGAATGCAATGCAATGTCCCTTATTTTCCCAATCCTAGTCTCAACCGACTCCAAATTTGGCTTTCACCGGCCTCAATTCCCACCTACGCTAACTGACTTTACCGAGCTAAGATTGATACTATCTCGGCCTCTTGGTCATTTGGGGCCTAGTATCAACTTTTTCACGTCCTACATCGGATCGCGCCCCTTCTAGGTTGAGTTAGCACTGGACTTGCGATACCCGGTCTATTTCTAATTTTCTCTTTTCCGTCCATCCTAAGATGGCTAACTTGTCAATCTCTTTCAACTTCCTCACCATTCTAAAATGGCTCTAATTTCCTTCAAGTTCAAGTTTCCTACCATGCCATGCATATGAATGCAATTGCATCAACTTAACCTCTATTTTAATTATACAATAGAAATGACATCAATATGGCATTCTTTATAAAATAGATACAAGCATGGCATTCTTTACAATTTAAGCACACGTATGGCATTCTCAATACTTTACTCACAAGCATGCTTCCCATGTAAAATCATATCAATAAAATCATGCTAGCACATTGGCACAATTAGCAATTCTTCAACTAGTCAATGACAACACTTCATTTGCATGGAAAGAATATTATACATCAAATACTAGCATGCTTTCATCACATCTTCTTCAACATGGTCAAGTAAGGAATCAAGGGAAGATTACTCAACAAAAGGCAAAGTATAGAGCATTAGAAATCTCTACCTCAAGGATGGCAACCAAACAAGCCCTTATGCAAGCCCTAACTTTGAAATTCCTCAAGCCCTAGCATCAATGGTCTCAAAATGAAGCTCTTGACAAGTGGAACAAAACTCTCTCCTTGCTTATCATCAAAATCTCACCTTAAACCTCTCAAATTTGAAGATGAAACATGTAGCTATGTGTGTGTCTAGATATATAGAGAGAGAGAAGAAAATCTTAGAGACAGAGAGAGAGAGAGAGAGAGCTAGCCAAAGTGGGGAAAGAAAGGGGAGGGTTAGCCAAGTTCAAATGGTGTGTATAGCCCTCCATTTGCCATACCTTGTGCTAAAGTTACTCAATTACCCTTAAGCTTCATTGCAATGCCAAACAAGTCCCCGAAATATCTCCCAATGTATACTTACATATATATGTATGTATATATGTGTGAAAAGACCACAATGCCCCTCACTTAATTGGGCAAAACAGGGAGAAGTTCCCGAGCCTAATCATCCTGACTTCCGAAAAATTCTAAAATCAATTCCGCCACCTCTAATTGACTTAAAATAGTTAAAATGCACTTCTAAAACCTTCGGCTCAAGAAAATGACCTAGATGTGCCCGCGTGGCACGCAAAACGATACGCAAAAAATAAATAAAATAAAAATTTGAAAAAAATCCGGGACATTACAGAGTGAAATTGATAGTTCTATAGGTTGTTAAGGACCACTCTGGCCTTATATACATCATTATTGTTCATTATAGTGTCATTATTGCCATTACAGACTGTTATGGCCCATTACGGTATTTGAATTCGATAGTAACCTTAAAATATGCTTAATCTTTTAGGATAATCATCTTTTAAGAAATTTTACTTTGTCAAAATCCTTTGAGCTCTACTTATCAAAAAAAAAAAAAAAAAAAATTCCTTTGAGCTCTAAAGAAATTCTTATGCTCTTTTAATGAAGATTGAAATAAAGGAACTGGAGATTGATCAATAAACCTCTTCTATTTCTTAGTATTGAAGGGAGTTTCTAACTCTCATGGTCATATTCGTTTTTGTTATGACAAACGCAGTGAACCAAGAACAAATTACGAATTGCGTTGGAAAAGTAAACATGCCACACAAAGAACATAGTTTTTAGCGTGGTTTGACAGAAGTTGTGTCTATTGTCTCTCATAATCCCACTCCAAATCCTTAACGCCCTTATATATCGGGCTACAAGACAGTACTAAACAGGGTCAACGACCTTCAAGCAAAAAAAGGGTCGAAATTTTTTCCTGGGCCAGCTTGAGCCCACACAAAGCTCAATCATCAGGTCGAAACCAGGTTGCAATGCGACCGGGAACCAAATTCAGGCCACAACATCACAATTTCCCAACACACAATTATCGTCTTCTTTTGACAAGGAAAATATCGCTTGATTATTCCAACCACACTGATTTTCTAATTTGTAATTCTTTGCAAGAGAAAATTTTTATCTTGGGATAAATGTAGTTTGGGTGTTGGGAAAAATACAAGAGGACAATATTCAATTTGGATGCTAAAGATTTTGAAAATATTATGCAATGCCTTCCAAGCAAATTAATTAGATCAGAGTTATACGGGCCACCCTGCCTTTTTTTATTGCAAAGCGAATGAAGATGGCTTTAGCACTCTGACAATAGCAAAGTGCAGAATTTAACCATTTCATGTTATTTATTTATTTTTGAGTGACAGGCAAAAGCTTTTTGGTGTGGGAGCCTTATGATTCTCTTCAAAGAGGGTGTCACAACCATGCTACCTTAGCACAGCCGAGAAAAAATAGCAGTGTACCGCATCCAATTGTCTAAAGTCCTATTGTCACATTTGTTACTACTTATCTCTTGCAAAATTAAACCGGTTACCCTTTTCCTGTTGCTCAACATTCATATGTGAATTTCATGAAAGAGTTCATGTTTCCTTCCATAGAACTCAAAATCATCATCTTACCCCATACCTTAATACCCCCCTTTATGGTGTGGAGTTTATGGTTTACTATTTCCACCTCCACCTCCATCCCCTCAACACACACCACCACCACATGTAAAACTTAGGGAGTTGGTTAATTTGAACCTTGTTTGCTGCTTAAACTTGAATGCCAAGAAAACTTGTTTTTAGTGACATCTAATAGTTCCTTGCATTTTTTAATCATTTGCCAGCTTATTCAGTGTTAGTTATTGTGCTCTCGCAACAGTAAATAGGGCAAATATATTAAGTCCTCAACCCATAGAAGTAAGAGGAAATCAGAAGGCAATTGAAGTGGGTCATGGCTTTCTGTACTTTTTATGGTTTTAGTTTATAGAATCTGTTGTACTTCAAATATTCTTTTATTTTTTAAATATAATAAATTAAATGTCCACTGCTGTCGAGTTCAACGTTATACATCAGTGCAAATTATAACAATGGAGCAGAAGTTGTAGTGGGAGTATTGGAAGAAAACTTGGGTAGCCTTGATTCTGGTCAATTGTTGCATTTAGTTCATACTGTGAGATGATATAACTTGCTTGAAGTACCAAGGATTTGAGGAATGCAGCAAAGGTCAAAGTGGAGAGAGGGCTACCTGGAGGTTTTAATTTTCATAAATAACGACTCAGTTAATCATGGCACTGGTTCGATTTTTCACATTTAAGTTCTAGAAGAGTTCAGTGGATGATGATTGTTGTTCTGTTTCTTTAAATATGAATGTTTGTTATCTGTTTAACCTAAATTGTATATATGCAGAAATAAAATGGACAAGGTTATATCAATATCCCCCAACTAATGTTAGGAAGTCAAAGGGAATAAATAGGCAACTGATGGTGCGTCCACAGTATCCTCCTATCATTTATCGTGAGAGTGAAATTCCTAATGTCAAAACCGATTCAGAAGTGGCAGTTGTCATTGATGGTGCCTGGAAAGTAGGGGACTTAATTGATTGGTGGACCTCTGATTCTTATTGGTGTGGACGAGTGACTAAAATTTTGGGCAATGACAAGGTTAAGGTAATACTTCTAAACTGTTCCAACTCATTCACACTGCTATCCAGTTAGCCAATTTGAACCTCTTATGATGTTAATGTCTTTTACATCATGAGGATGTGGTGTTTGACATATAAAGATTTCATGATGTTTATTAATAATTAATTTATGACGTTTATTAATATTCACTCTAGTAAAATGAAACACTTTTTACTTTTTCTTTAATTATTTATTTCATTTTATTGTATCATGAATTTTGCACTGTCCAATATACTTCATATTTTGACCATTTTATTTTGAGTATTTGCTATCAAATTATATTTGTACATATGCATAGAGATCTAGATGATGGTAACAAGTCCTTGTAGAAGAATTGATGCTGCTGAATATCCTCTTGATATATAATATGCACTCTCTCCGGAAATTGTATCAAGTGTTCTGCCTAGGTCACTAGAGTGAATATTTTCCTCATTTCTTTAATCTCTCATTTAATGGTAGATGAAAAGGTAGCTTTGAGGACTGATTTTCTTGTAAGCTTGCGTTAATTTGGCTCTCTTTATCCTTGTTAATATCTTAATATAACTTAGAAAATCCAGGGGTGACTACATCGGGGCATTTAAGTTGCTTTTAGAAGTTCTATTTATTGTTGTAAAGATTCTCCTCAATTGAAGCATCAATTCTATATATCAACGACAAAACCCATGAAATTGTCACTTTTTTATAAATACAACAATTGTACCTGGAGATTGGGTAACTTGTTCATAAATACAAACCTGGAGACTGGGCGAAGTATTGTCGTGATTAAAAGAGATTGTTCTGTCTTGGATCCTTTGAGATGTTAATTCCTGAGATATATTTAATACTGAAATCAGAATTTGCCTGTCCTCTTCATTATTTATAGTTTCTGTTTGATAGTGCGAGTGTGGAAAATGGTGGTGGCTGCCAGTCTCCTTTAACTTCATGTTTTGTATATAACAGTGATTTTTCTCATAACCAAGGATTCACCCGCATCACCATCTGAACATGAGTAGGAATTGGCCATTTTATAGAGAATAAATCATCTTCTAGTCTTGTTATTGCTTATAATGTTCTATGAGTTCATGCAAGGTACTTGTTATAAAAGATATATGTTTATTAATATCCTATTTATATTTATAATTTTTGTAGCCTGGTTTCTCTAGATTTATTTGCTACCGCGTCCTCTGGGTGAAGGTTTATCATATGAAGTTTTCTGCAAGGATCTACGCCCATCCTTGGATTGGTCTCCAGAATGTGGTTGGACAGTGCCTATTCCATTGGTAGCTCCGTCTGTTCCTCTGTTTGCATATTTGTATCTACCTGTTTTTTCCTTTTTTCTTTCACTCAATCTTAATTTCAATGTTGTGTATATTCTCTTGTTATTCTACTTGCACATTATTCTGTTATTATTCTACTTAATCAGTACTTTTGTATCCCATTACCAATCTAAATTATGAACGTAGCTTATAAAAGAAGGAAACAAGATAGTACCAATGGCGGTCCTTTGAATTGCCGTATAGGTCTCGGTTGTTCTCCACAAATCTGTGATATTCCCATAGGTTGCCATTTTCTACTGCAGCTGGTTATGCACGATTTCATTAGATTTTTTATTTTATTTACAAGTAAGATTTCATTAAAGGTGCTCAAGAGGGAGCGCTCCCAAGAGATTACGCAAATAGCCGAAAATGGTTTAACAATAATTTATTCCTTACAGTAGTTGTAATACTATTTTTAACAACATACTGGATGTTATAATGCTTTTGGATAGCAAAATTTTGGTTATACTCACACTTCGAGCTTGACAATTATTTGGAGACAATTAACCATTCTGCAATATCCATTGTTTGTTTAGTGTTGAAAGACATAAAAGTTGAAGAGAGAAATTAAACATGAATAACACAACACATAAAGCCCATAGGGCTGCATCTCTTTCATTACATTCTCTCTTGATTTTGTTTGCAATAACCACCTATTTATAGGTGAATTGGGGAAGACTTGTAATAAAGGAATTACACATAAAGTAAAATATAAATATGGCAACAACTTGTTGCCCATGTATTGGAACATTAACATTCTGTCAAGGAGTGATTTAAGGGCTTAAATCACTCCAATAATTATTCTCCAACACCCCCCCTCAAGTTGGTACATATGGATTTAACTCAAGTGTCCAACTTGAAATTAAATATGAACTTGTTGAGAGTCTGAGATTAGTTGATCTGGAGATCCGAGACAAGTTGATCTGAAGATCCGAGACGAGACGAGATGAGACGAGTTGATCCGAAAATCTGAGACAAGTAGAGTATATAGTAGGGCATTATAAACTTGCTCTGATACCATGTTGAAAGATATAAAAGTTGAAGAGAGAAATTAAACATGAATAACACAACACATAAAGCCCAAAGGGCTACATCTCTTTCATTACATTCTCTCTTGTTTTTGTTTACAATAACCACCTATTTATAGGTGAATTGGGGAAGACTTGTAATAAGGGAATTACACATAAAGTCAAATATAAATATGGCAACAACTTGTTGCCCATGTATAGCAACATTAACATTCTGTCAAGGAGTGATTTAAGGGCTTAAATCACTCCTATAATTATTCTCCGACATTTAGTATAGGCATGACTTTTTACTTGGTTGTTGATGCATAGCCATATAACAAGAGATCAGAATGGGAGAACTTAATTAAAATATCTGAACTTCCTCGTTTGCTGTCTTGGAATGGAACTCTAGATTGCTGGAACTTTGCCTTGGAGTAAATTTTTGACTCAGCTTACCCTTTAATCACTCATGTTATTTGACTGGCTTTCTGATTATGCATTCCAATTGCAATTTCCAAACAAGTACTTGCTAGTTGTTGAAGGTTTTGAACTTCTGATAAAAAAAAGATGATATCTTTTGAATTGAATTTGAAGGATCGAGACTTACGTTCAGTTCTAAGTTATATAAACCTAATAGTTATTTTTGCTCATCTTTCATTATTATTGATAATAATCCTATTTTCTCGAGTCCTTTGGCAGCTGCTTAATGATAAAGACGGCAACTTTTACTTGCTACAATTTTCTGTACCTTGTCTATTTGTATTTCTACCTTTGTTTATTATGTAATTGGGATGCTTCTTTTGCCTTGTCATCGCTAGAAACCTTTTTCGTCTTTTGATGTTGCACAATATTTTCATAAATGGTGCTGATTCTCTCTTTATCGTTTAATATCTGTCTCAATGGCACATTACAGGATGGTGAAAATTTTCGTCCTTTTGCTCGGCTTATTCAGCTGGTGAATCAAGGTATGATATGAAGCAGTCTAAACATTTATGGCGCAGTTTTTTTAGAAAACTTAGTTTCTTTTTTCTGAATTGGCTTCAGTTCAGTTAAATTAGCGATCAGTCTTGCTAGAAACTGATTGAAATATATCAAGTATAGAATTTGGCAGAGGTAAACAGTCTCTTTAGTTGGGAGACCATTTTTAGGCAGGTATACCATTTATAACGTCTCTGACTAACAAAAATCTAGATACTGATTGGATACTACTCAACATTGAAGTCTGCCATCACTCTTCTTTGGTGGGAAAATTGGTAACATCTTGATTGGATGCTTCATCTGCTTATTTCTGTGCATTTTGTCATTGGTGCTTAGTGTATCCTATTCTATAACTAAACGTAGAAATGTAATAAAAAATACATACGTCTACAGTTTATTTTGCTTTGAGAGTTTAATGTATATACACAGTCGAGCATCTCTTTTCAAATGAAAGGTTGAGAGTTCAAGTTCCCTTTGTGTGTGTGTGTGCGTTTTTTATTTTTTAGGGGGTACTTACCAGATATATATACATATATTACAGCATCAGATGCAGTATTATATAGGCTGGATTGTGATTTAATGATTCCATTTTTAATCATATTCAGAGAAATCATTACCTGCTCTGGATGAAGCAAAGCTGTCTGTACCGAGGGGTGTGCTGAAACAACCATTGAGCATCACTGTTTCCAAGGAGGCGATGCACATGCCAGAAACAAATTTGGAAACTGAAGGGCATGCTGGGGAAGGCCTGTATTATCGCGAGGAGTCGTCAAAGAAGATGAGAACTGGTGGAAGCATTTCCTTAAATTCTATGTGCTCTGACACTTTAGAAGCTGCAATTATGGATTTGGAGGAACTTGCAAACAGGGTCAAATGGCTTAGGAGCATGCTAGAATTTGGAATTCCTTTGTCCAATGCTGTGAGACCTCCATGGAAGTTTGTGGAACACCATGCATCATCAGCACCAAAATGAGTGATTAAATAAGTGTAAGCATGTATATTCTTGGCTCTTGAGATGTGTTTTATTTTGTGTGGATTGGTACACCATATTCTATGCCATATTTTTGACACTTCAATATTTCCATTATTTCTATCAGTTTTTACTAAGTTGCATTCCCAATTCACGTTGGGTTGCATGTAATTCATCTTTTTGTGTTTTATGAGAATACAATGATCTGAACAGTTCATTGTTTATGGCGTGTGCTTGTGTAAAATAATGCAATACACCATTACAAATTAAGATCTGCATTATGGAAAATTCTATAAGGTGCTGTTTGATAAAACTGAAAATTAACTGCTGAAAATTTTAATTACTAACATAAATTGAGAATTTCTTTAATACTACTACAAATTTTAAGTGTTCAGTGACAAGTGAAGCCCACCTCACTTGAAAATTTACCCCAATTTATGTTGCAAAAATAGGAGCCACACCGTGTTATCAAACACTTTAAATTACTTGTGTTTTGAGAATTAAGTACTAAACTGAGTCATCAAATGGAGATTAAATCTGGATTATGATTTTGTATAACATCGAATGAGGAAGTAAAAATATTATGTCGTCGTCGTTATCATCATCATCCTTGCCTTTATCGCGTACAAAGGGGGTTGGCCACATGGATTCTCATTATTCACTCTTTTCTATCATAAGCCATATCTGCTACTAGACTTGATTTTTTAAAACCATTTCTTATCACTTCATTCCATGTTAGTTTTGGTAGACCTCTTTTTCTCTTACCCTCTATGCAAATCAATCTCTCTCCTCACGGGTGCATCTATAGAATATGCCCATACCACCTAAGTTTACTCTTTCTTATTTTCCCACTAATAGGCATCACACCTAATTTCTCCCTATCATCAATCTCTCTTATCTTTTTGTACAATTAATCCTATGTATCGAAAACTTCAAAGGGGATTTGATAAAGTTTTTCGGTCGACCGTCTACCTGACACCAACCCACCTCTTTTTGCATCTTGCCTTTGGTATGCGCAATTGGAGGGTCAAATAACCTAATTTTGTAATCTCTTCTACCACAAATTTTATGTCAGAAGATTAAAGAAAATTTTGGAGAGAATTGAAATGTACCTACTAGTAGCCATGGTATGAGCTTCCTGTTGTATATGTGCATATCTATTTGCTCAAATTTCCTTGATGCATCCCACATCTGGTTATATTTGTGTATATTGCACATGTTCATAAATATGGATCTTTTTAAACCTACCTTTAAACTGCTTTCAGGGGCTGGGCCGCTGGTTAATTATTTACCTACTTTTGGCTGGAGGAAGTTTCCTTTTTTTTTTTTTTTTGGTTTATTTTTTAATTAAAAAAACTTGTGATTGATGCCTTTGTGGTCATTTAACACGAAACTCATTTCTCCTTTTTCTCCTCTTTGATCCTTTTAGAAGATTTCCTGGGATTTTGAATTCTGCAGCTCGTGCTCCCATGTGAAACAGATCCCCTTTGATCTGCAACCTAGTCTATCTTGAAGCAATGAGTATAGGGTTATGACTTGGTTAGATTGGCTTGGGTAAAGGGTATACACTGCTGAGCTGAGTGCATTTAGGGTTATATGCACACTGCGCCAAACGGAAAATGAACGCAGCCCACTTACAACTGTTGAGGAAGACTAGGATTAATTCAATCTGCATTGAAGCCTAGATTCTAAAGGAGAATTTGGGAGAATTTGAGAAATTGTTATTAAAATGATAACATATAGAAATCATATTGATAGACTTCTTGCGGCAGATTGAAGGGGCTGTTCTTTTATAATACAATCAATAATGTATAATCTTTCTTAGACATACTTTAGAAACTCCATTCAGCTGTAACACCACCTTTTCACTTTCCTAAATAATCACTTAGTAATTCAAAGCTTAATTACTACTTTGTTTAAAACCAGAATGACTATTATACTTCTTCAACAAACTTTGTAAGACGGGATTAATTATTTGCACAACACACAGACATGTACAGACATATATACATATGTAATTATGTAGGTATGTGTACATATTGTATAGGGTACTCATGTATGAGCATATATCTGAATGCTTCTACTTGAATATAATTACATATATTTTGACATTATACTGTATGCATATATGCATGTATACATGTTTATGCACATAATAGAAGTATTTTGTGGTATATCAATCGATAGGTTAATTTGTTTATCTAGAAAACCAGAAAAATGAGTTAAAATTCATTGACTGTGCCCGGATTCAAATGCAACTTTCTTTTTCGGTGCAGAAAAGTTCATTTTAAAACAGTTTGAGCCTTGATTACCTTTTTTACCCCATAAATTTGCTATCATTTTGGAGTCAAGACTCAAGAGTCGTACAATCTTAAGCTAGGAAGCACAGGCACGTCTATAAGGGTGTAGTATCTATGCCTGTCATGTGTTAGACACGTGTGAAATGTTCTTGTCTTTTGTTTATTATTTTCTTCTAAAGATTTTACATGTGATGCAGAAGACACTAGAGACAAGGTTGTGTAATTTAAAATGGAAGAAACAAGAGCTTGAAAATAACAAAACTCTAGAATGAGAAGTAAACTTCCTCCCTAAATCGGACAACATTTAAAGAGATAAGCCTGGACTCTGAACCTGATTCAAGTTAATCCTAACCAAACTCCCTAATTTGAACCAATTGTCTTTCTTACCCAACAGCATCTGCCTTTGTCATCGCCTCTATCAGCCACAATCGCCACCACCCCTGCAGCACACCATCACAAATATATCCCAACCTTGCTCTATTCTATACATGTTAAAGTATATATCCTCGTTGAAAGTATTTGGGGGAGAGAGACTGCGAATGGAGAGAGGAAGTGTTGGGAGAAGAGGACTTTGCCTGGGGATGAGATGTGAGAGGGTCGAATTTTTGAAAGGCAGCCAAGTGGTTTGTTCTTTGAAGAAGATATTATGTTTGTTGTAGAATTTTCTGGTTTGGGTGTGACTCGATACACTTGTTCATATAGCACCTTTTTTTGTTTGGCTAGCCAAGTGGTGCAATATACCCATGTTCATATGTTTCTTTTTCTTTAGTTATATTTTATGATCAAATATATATATTTATTTTGAGTTGTGTCGCCGCCATATCTATTTCCTTTTGTGTTGAGAATGATGTTTTGATGAGTCCTTGGCACCCTGCCATGTCATATCTACATTCCTTGTCTTCGTTTCTTGGACCTTAAGAGTTACAGTGCTGGAGACTTGTAACCTTAAATCTCTCTGATTTATATCCATACTCAAAAGTGGAATAGGTAAAATATGAAGTGCAAGCCCCTTTCAGTGGCGTAGGATGTTTACATTTTCTACAATATTGACATAAGTGAAGAAAGTTTGCTTTATAATAATCTAGCTGCCGCTATTTTTTGTGTTTTTATCACAACTAGAGGAGAAAGTCTGTAATTTAAAATGAAATTTGAAAAGTTGTTACTTTATATTCTTTGTATCCTTTGGCCTTTGACCTGTTGCGAAGTTTGACTTGCCAATCCTACATATTGATGCCTAGAGTGGCCATCTGATGCATGGATGTTTGGATAGATTATATTCAATGCGATGAAACTTTGAAGAAAATTATATATTTTTCTCTTCAAAAATTACCTTTTTTTTGCTTCAGAATTGGGACTATTATTTGTTTGTGATTCAATCTTTTAAGTTAAAAGCTTAAATAAATTTTGTATACATGATGCATGAAAAATTTGGATTGATCTTTTAATTCTTTTACATTTCACTGCTTTAAAGTTTCCAAAATGTACATTATTTAATTTAATGAAGTTCTGTTGTTACCTTTCACTGAATATTAGTTAGTAAAGATATATATATATACAATTCATGCTCTTCTGAGGTGGTGTTTGATAAATTAAAAGTTAAAGTACTGGAAATTTAAGTGCTGAAGTTTTAAGATGTAATTATAAACTCAGATTTTTTATTTTTTATTTATTTATTTTTTTGCTATATATATATATATTTTGGGAATTGAAGTGTTCAACATTCAGTGAAAAGTGAAGTCACCGTCTTTAAGTGATTTAAAATGCATTATGAAACTAAGTTAATCAGATAAGCACTTAATCCATTCAGAATTAAGTGCTGAATTAGGTTATCAAAAAACATTTTAATCGCTCTGTTTTGTGATGTTAACTTCCTAGGTCATATATTAACACTCCCTGTAGTAATATTACGTCTACCATGAAATCCTGTGTGCATTATCTGCTGCTGTTTTTATTAAAATATGTGGTAAACATTTGAGAGAGAGAGTTTATATATACCTGGTTGTGATAGGCATATGTGGTTTTGTGGTTTCATATGGATATTATGACTGAAGAGCATGCGTCAGTTTGACCATTGCATCACTTGTTTCCCTTGCTCATTATGTTTTTGTTTTCGGACCTGGCATTAAGAAAATAATATGATTGAAAGTTTGATAAAATTTGTTATCATGGTGTTTGCTTCTAGTTGAAGTACAGTTAGGAATATGCGAATTATACTAGAACTGTCATCTTCAACACTGGAGTAATCAAATGTCAATTGAATTTGTCAGGCCTCCAGCAACATCTTGGATCTCTGGTCAAGCAAGTATTATTTCTCCTCTTGTTAGTATTCATAAACATTTGGCGGTGGTGTTGGTGTTGGTTGGATTACTGATTTGAATGAAGTGGGTTTTTTTTTTTTTTTTTGCCCTCCTCTTTTGCTTTTTATTTCAATATAAATCATGCATAAATATGACAGATATGCTTACATGTATATTTCTCGTTATTTTGTTGTTTACAGGAGATTACTTGATGCGGCATAGTCTACTGAACCATGTTCCAATTGAGCATGGGGAGAACCTTACAGATGTATCATGATTCTGATTGAAAAGCATGTTACTTTGTGTACCTACTTCTGTGTAGTCTGTGCCTTGAGTGCTCTATTTCAGCCTGGTATCAGTTCCTTTTTCATTATTATTATTATTTTTCTTTTAAAATTTTCTTTTATAAGCTCCACGTATCAATTTGAAAAATTGTATGTATTTCGGGTTCACTCTAAAATCGCTACGCTGGACATCTGTTGAATTTTATGGTGCCATTTTAGCACGAAGTTGTAAAATAATGTGACCTGAGCGTTTCAAATACGGCCTCTACTTGTGATTCTTCTAAAGCAGTATTACCAAAATTTCCATTGATCTCTGTATGTTGTGTGGATGGATTCTTTATCATACAAAATTAAGCTGAATTTTTGTACGGACCATTGTAGATTGAGATGAAAATGTCTAAATTTTGGTTGGTTAAACCAAGTAATGTAAAGTGTGCTTTAGAAGTACATTTTTCTTGGTCTTTAAACTTCTATTTTCAGTGGCCTTTAAAAATTGCATTCAAGGGCAGTTTGATATCTGATTTGTCTGAATATCTACTAAATCAGCTAAAATGACCATGTTAGTCAGTAGTTGGGTATGTCAACTTGTTTATACATGAATGGAAATGAAAATTTCTGAAAAGTAACTAATTTTTTGCTCGAGTGGTTTCATTTGGTACGAAGCGCAGAAAAATGGGTGGAAGAGAATGAGTTTAATTTTAATTTGGTTTTTTTTGTTTTTTTTCGCTCCTCCTCGTCTCTTACCAAACCAATCAGATTCTTCTTCGGTTAATTTTTTTTTCGCTCCTGCGGTGAAATCTCTTACCAAACACTAGATTTGCAGCTAATCAGTTCATGAGTCGCAAAACAAGAAATCAAACAGAAACTCTCAAGTTTATATATGAAAAATCAAGTCTATCTGAAAGTCTTAAAAAATTTTAAAAAATAAAATGCAAAGAATATTCACATTTTTCTTTTCTTTTCAGTATCCACTTCAGAGAGAGAGAGAGAGAGAGATTTTGGAAGATAGATATCAAGAGAGATGCAAAGAGAGGGGTATGGTGGGAGTAGATGTTGGGTGCGTGTCATATCACAAGTGTACACATGAAGTATAATGTACTATTTCATTATCAGTGCTTTAGGTGGGCTAATTTTTTTTAAAAATAATGCATTGCCATTGAGTGAATACACTAATGACATGGGTGACTGGCGCATTCAATATCTACTTGTATGGTAGGGTGATCACCTTTCACCATCTGGCCTTGTACTTGGGCGGGTAGGGCGGGTATTCATTATATGCTTCCATCCCAGCCCAAAATCAGTTAAGAATTCCCCATATCAATTCTGAAACCAAGTCGGACTGCTAAAAAAAAAAAAAAAAAACTTAGCATACAATTCAAGGACTTTGTGAAGGTCATAAAAGTATGTTTTTTTAAATTAATTGGGATTTAAATTTTTTTGAAAATGTACAGAAAAGATTACCATTTTGAAAATCTCAAAAACTCTAATGTTTCACAGTTATGAGAAATTATATCAAAATTGTAATTACATTTAAAAGCAAATTCTAACTATTTTAAAGAAATGTGGAAAGTAATATGGAGAGGAGAAGATCTCCCTAAAAACTTTTGAAAACCTATTGAAAACGTGGATCTTCTTATTGTACAAAATTTTGTCAATTTTAGTGGTATTATGAACCCAACTGAAATTCTCAGAGAGCTTCGATTGTACCCCCCAAGACCATGGTCGTAATAAGAAACCTAAAAATAATAAAAAAAATCCCAAAACTAGTTATAAAACTTATTCGAAACTACTAGCTCAGTTGGTAACTATAACCTTTCAAGGGCATTTATGAGAGCACAATATATATATATATATATATATATATATATATATATATATATTTACATTCTTAGTTGGTACTCATGTGATTTGTACGCAACAGAAAATACTTAGAATGTTTTGTTTAATTTAAAAACAGATATTGTGTTTTTCTAACTTACTTTATTTTAGCAATTAATAACTTAATATCATGCTATCTAAAATAAAGTGAAGTAAAGTTAGAGATGAAATCAGGATTTTAGTGAAGAAACTCCAGTTGATAAAATACGTCAACTGTTTGTGTGGAAAAAACCTCGTGGACTATGCAGTCCAAAGTAAACAGATACACTATGCTTGAAACACAGTACACTGGCATTTGACTCTGTTTCACATCTTATCGTTCTACCAAACACCAACTGCTAACAATCCTCTGGCTTTACGACTCCCCGTGCAGCAACAACTTAACATCAGGCTTATGCTTGATCTTTGTAGAAGAGTAGCAGGTAGATCAGACAACACTCCTCGAATGCTCTAACCTTTTTAAAGTGTGATTGCTTTTACTTTTATTCTTCAATCGTCTGAATTCGATGTAGAAGTAGATCTGCTTTTGTCTGATCGATGTAGATGTAACTGTATAATCATGATCAGGATTTGAACAATCACGATCAGGATTTGAACAATCACGATCAGGATTTGAACGACACAAATCTAAACTTAAGGGTTTATGTGTATATGTTCTAGAAAGATAAACAGAAAATTCTCTAAGAATTTATGAGACAAAAATCTTCCTAAGGCTATTTGAGAATAATAAACTAATAATGCAAAAGCCGTAATAAACCAATGTATATGACATGGTTTATATAGAGTATAGAATGACCTAATCCCTTTGAAAATATGAAAAAATTTGTGCATAGGATTTGGTACAATTCTAGAGCAACTGGGAAACAAATCAGGAAAGGAAGCTGAAAGTTGTAAACCTATCAGGACACCTTGAACCAGTTCAGAGGGGCTGAACTGGTTCAAGTTTGGCAGTAACTTTTCGAAGCCAAACTTTACATCTTGAACTGGTTCAGAGGGGCTGAACTGGTTCAAGTTTGGTAGATTTGAAACTTTGGTTCCTTCAGCCTAAATTCATTTTACGGTAAGTTCTGAACAAAATGAAAATTGTAGAATGTGTCCAACCCTGTTTAGAATCCTTTCTAAAGTGTTGTTCTTACCTTTTTCTTCAACTTCAATTATGGTAACTTTGAACAACTTCCCAGTTCTGTAGTTGCTGTCGAACTTGATAACTTGCAGAACAAGTAATTTGAATTACAACTTGACTTTGACTTGTTTTGTCTACAATAATTGCCAAATATAAAATAATATCTCACAATCTCCCCCTTTAGCAATTTTGTGACAAAACCCTAAAAATAATTTTCGCAATCTACCCAAAGCAGAAAAGTAAAGTACATTATTTGTTTAAAGGCAAAAACACAAAATATGATCACTTTTCTCTTTTCTTCTTGGATACACGGCTTGACCTGATTTTCTGCAGACTATCAAGCAACAACTACCAGTGAAGTTTAATAAATAAAAATTTATAAAACTCTCCTTTAAGTATATATTCAGAATATATCCAAAAAAGAAAAATATCATCTGTCTGTTTCTCCCCTTTAATTTCTATCTGTGATCTCCTCCTTTTTTGTAACTATCAAAACATGAGCAGATAAATAAGAGAACAGATAAATTCAACCCAAAGAAGTCATGTAAAGCATATTCTAAGAATATCCAAAAAATATTGACAATGTGATCAACATTCAAACAAAACATGATATTATGATGCATGAAAAAAAATATCATGAAAAACAGCATCATTGTCTCGTCAACCACTCAGAGAAAATAAACATCATCTTTAGTCTCTACCACTCTCCTCTTCATCCTCATCCTCATCATCCTTATCTGAATATTTGTCCCTTCCTCATCATCTTCTGCATCTTCAGCTCTCAGAGATGGATCTGGAGGTGCAGGCTTGTTGACATCTTCATCCGGAACCCCTGATGGCTATCCTCTTAGTTGAATCATCTATAGTTTGAGATCTCGGATCTCAACCATCATCCTGTCAAACAACGAATTGATGAGTGCTGAAAAGTGCGAATTTAAACCCCTTAAGTTTGAGTATTCTAGGACCTTTATTTATCTTATTTTTCCGTTTTAGATTAATTTCATGTTATTACCCTTTTCAGGTACTTATCCCCAAAATAAGTCAATTAAGCCAAATTAGAGTATAAAATAAGCAATCTCAAGCTGGATGGAAGAAAGAAGCAAAGTGGTGGAAAACAACAATCTTCGATCGATCTCATCTATCTTCGATCGATCTCACAGTGATCGATCTCACCTCACCAAGATGGATCAAACCCCTTGTCCTTATCCTCAAGAATTTCCATCTTCGATCGATCCAACTTTCATTTAGATTGATCGAACTTCCTTGATCTTATCCCCACCTACCACTTTTGTCTTTTTCCCAAAATATCCCAAAAATATCTTAGATTTGTCTCTTTCCAAAAAGGCGCTGCCAAGGATTGATCGATCTGGCCTTACTTCGATGGATCTGGCCATAGTTCGATCGATCTCATCTGAATTCGATCGATCGAACCTTGTAATACCCCTAATTTTAAAAGGATAGTGTTGGCATTTTAAGTTATTGTTTTATTGTATTTTGTGTGACTATTTGGCTTATTTGTTAATTGTTTAATTATTTTAATTAGTTATTTGATTTAATTGTTTAGTTATGTGCTTAAATTACATTTATTTGGTTTAATTGTTTATTTATGTGCTTAAATTGCATTAATTGATTTCTTGTTTTCAGTAATTGAATGGTTTTATTTAATTGTCTTTTGTATTTTCTTTAATTGTATTAATTTAGTAATTATTAATTCTAAGGTAAAATAAGTGTTAAAGGAGTCTTTAAATTACGTTACTTAACTAGGGTTCTCTAGGAAGTCAGTATGTGTAGCCGGCATGGATTAACTTAGGTTGCTCTATGGGCCGACTAAGATTGACATTAGGGCTCTGTCTCTAATCATACAGGGAATAGGGTTTTATTTAAGTCTCTATATATATAGAACAGTATGTCGACTTAGGGTTTTAGAATACACAACCTCTGTTCACGTATCAAGTTTACAGAGAGAAACAGAGAGGGGTTTTGAGCAAACAGAGTACGTTCGGTGAGGGTTTCAACTGTGGCTTAAAGGTTAAACCTAGGAGAAGGAAGGAGCAGAAGTAATAGGAGGCTAGACTGTATTGCAATGTTGACGAAAACGTGAACACGACGCCAGGATTTCATAATTGAAATCACAGGTAAGTTCTTTTCTTCCTCTTTCCAGTTGGCTTATGTTCTGTGCACCTAGATAGTCTCTAGGAGATTAATTGGACATTAATTGAACCATGCATGATTATTATATGTTATATTTGATTATCTAT